CTGGGCCCATTTTCACTCTTTTAACCTCCTCATTCGGATATTTTTCCAAAAAGTTAAAAGTTTGAAATTAGCATAAATGCAATTTATAAATGCAGACATTTTTAGGAAGTTTTAGAAAAATCCTTTTATTTTTAACACATTGAACTAAGTTTGAAACTGTTTTAAAAACAGTTTTTCCAGGTTTGGATTAACAAAGAAGAAAGAAAAGAAAAAACTTTGACTCAATCCCAAAATTCAACTCATTTTATTAGAAGACATTTCAGCAGAAGTGTCCAGTAACAAAGTACAAATATTTTGTTACTGTACTTAAGTAAATTTTTTAGGTATCTAAACTTTTACTTCATTACTTATTTTTCTTCCTACTTCTGACTTCTACTCATTACATTTTGACACCAGTATCTGTACTTTCTATTCCTTACATTTTTAAATCAAACGTTACTCGTTACTCTTGGCTTCGGTTTAATGTTTCTAAATATTTATTTCCCGTCATGTGCTCCATCCAATGCAGATCATTGGCTCCACCCACATCTAGTGAAAACTAGTGTGATTGGATGAGTCATAGAACGCAAACACTCATTGGTTAGTTAAAGGAAATCATCAGAAGCAAGCAGGTGTTCTTCAAACTGCTAACGTGAATTGTCTATGCCATGCTACAATGTGGGATTCAGAAAAAGATGTAGAAATGTCTGAAAGGTCGGACACAGGCGAGAGCGTATCGGGAGACGGAGACCAACAAGACCTCCCTCAAACTTGGTCCTATCTCAGAGGAATTTTAGAAATAGTCAAAAAAATTAGCTTTAAATTCATATAGTGGCATCTGGCTGTTTTTTTTTAAAGGTTACTTTATACTTTTATACTTTAAGTAGTTTTTGGAGCACATACTTTTTCACTTTTACTGGAGTAAAGAGGTCAAGTTGATGCTTCAACTTTTACCAGAGTGTTTTTAAGCTGCAGTATCTATACTTCTACTGAAGTAACTAATGTGTGAACTTTTGACACCACTGCATTTCAGTGAATAAAGAGCATGAAGGGAAATTTTTTTTTTTTTTTTCCGAATTCTGTTGCATCCTGAAAACTTTTTAAAGTATTTTCAGAGGAAACGACATTTCTGTTGCAGAACCGTCACAGATACATGCAAACTGCATCGCATGAATTTCTCTTCTTCTGAAATGTTCTTCATCATTTGTCTTCTTTGCAAAAAAAAAAAATATATATATATATATATATATTAATAAGATTATAGAGACTTGTAAAGCTTTGCAGCAACATTCCCACAGCAGGAAGAAAAACGAGTTTGAGAGGTAAAGTTGCATGAGGATCTGTGCAGCTGTGCAGAAATGTTTCTGAGCATAGATGATAAGAAAACAACAAGTCAATAACTTCCTTTTATTTCTGGAGGAATTCATGGATTGATTGGATACTTTTATGTTTCAGAAATTCTTTAAACTCTTCAGAAGCTAGAGTCACACACACACCACTGTCATAAAATGCAAAGAAAAAATCATATTTAATGCTTTTTGTCAACCTGAAGCTATTTCTTTTCTTTAAATCAAAGAGTTTTACAAACTATTTGTTGGTCGATATTTGTAATCTCCTGTTAGCTGAACTTTTATCTGGACTGAAAAAAGAAAGACACCTGCATAGAGATCCTTGATGGTCAAAGATGCTTTCCTGCAAAAAAAAAAGCAGGAATGGTGAATATTTCTGTATCACCGGAGCTTTGTTCCTTCCCCACCCATCCCTACCTCTCCGACTTGTGTCCTCAGATGGCTTTTGGCCTACTTTGGGCTGCAGCGTGTGAGCCAGAATGTCAGGCTGGATTTTAAGGCCGAGCGTGTGAGCTGGGACAAAAAGCACGACACGCAGACATGATTCCTCTGAGTGCTTCCTTCCCTCATTTCTTCTGTTAAAGCTGAAAAAAAATGTGCAGAAAGGTCCAGAGCTGCAAACGTTCTCCTCTCCAACCTGAAGTTCATCATCGTCAGAGCATCATTTCATTACAAATAAAACTAATTATTTAATATAACTAAGACAACTTATAAGGAGGAACGAGAGAAAGCAATAATGCAGAACAAATTTTGTAAATTGAAATAGAGAAAAAAAAATCCACCATTTCTAAAAATAGGTTTATTTGTTTATTAAATTAGCATCATAAAAATTCTCTAAAATTGAAACCTAGGTAAGTAATTTTTTCTTAAAATAAGTGCATTTGTTCTGGGATTGAGGAGGTAAAAGAGACATGTTGCCAATAGAACAAGATAATTTACATTTAAAATAAGAAAACACAACTGCATTGTCTTATTTCAAGTGCATTTTATCTAATTATCATATTTTAACTGACAAACTATCTCAAATTACTCATTTCTGGATCTTTTTTCCAGTTTCTAAGTAACAAAGATTGACAATCATTTCTAAATCAGAAGAATAAAGAAGGATTCATAGCTCTCTAATTAGTATTTAAAATCAGACGCGTCAACTAACAAAGTACAAATACTTTAATACTTAAGTAGAACTCTTGTGTATCTATACTTTACTGCAGTAATTATTTTTTAGACAACTTTTTCCTTCTACTCCTTAAATTTGAGAAATAGACTCACTAGTTTGTTTCATTTAAGCTAATTTTTTTATGGCCTGTTGGTATTTAAAAAAATAAAAAGCATCAAAATAATTAGTTTCATCCAGACATTTAATTTCTTTGTGGTTGGACTCGGTGCTGCCCCAACTTGTTGCTCACCACATACCAAAATAAATGGTTTTTCAAGATGATGCAAAGTTAAATGTGACTCTGTTACTGTTAGATATAAAACTAAGAAAATTAAGTCTAAGGAAGTTATCATCCAGAATGACAGAAAAATGTTCCTTTAATAGATTAGAGCAGTAAAGCTTCTGGCTTTAACAGTTTTACCTTCATTACTTTTATACTTTAAGTAGTTTTAAAAATGCTACTTTTACTGATTTACTGGAGTAAAAAGCTGAAGTTGATCCTCTAACTTCTACTAAAGTGTTTTTAAACAGTAGGATTTATACTGGAGGAATAAATATGAATTCCTTGGACGCCTCTGATTAAAATGAATCTTTATTTATCTTCTGACTTAAGTTACATCTGAACTTTTTATATTCAGAAAACTAACAGATTTTTAGTATTAAAGCAGAACCGTATGACCTCATTAATTCAAACCTCAAACAATAGTTTGTAGTTTTATCTCAATAAACTCAATATTCCAAAGTCTGAAGGATTCGAATGAAATGAGAAATTAATGAATTCAGTAAAAATGTCATTTTAAAAGGAAAATATGTTAAGAAAGTTTATTAAGAGGCAATTTTACTCATAGAAATCAAAAATGTTTACTGGTCCAACATTCACACATTAGAAGAAGATAAGTGAAAGATTTTGTAATCAATCAAACTGCCACATATTGGATGAGCAAATCTGTGGGATTCATAAAAAACAAGCAAAAGAAAAGAAAATAGGAGAAAATAATAAATTTCGCCTTTTCTATTTTTAATCTTCTTCAGTGTTAACTTTTTACTTGTTCTTCTGTTTTTTTGTTTTTGTCCAAAATCTGTCTGAAGAAGTTGATGAACCTCTGGAGATGTTTACTGCAAAAAATTAAAATCTAAATAAGTAATTTCTTTCTTAAAATAAGTGCATTTTTTTTTTCTTGAATTGAGGCGGTAAATGTGACACTTTGCCAGTGCAAAAATACAATTTACATTTAATATAAGAAAAACAATTGCATTCTCATTTCAAGTGCATATTATCTACTTATCTTATTTCAAAAGTAAAAAATCCCATTCCATTGGCAAATCATCTTATTTACCTGCTTAAACTAACGGGAAAATACACTTAAATTAAGAATTTTTGATCTATTTCTAGAACCGTTTTGCAGTGTGAGGTTGAAGTTTTTTGGAGCCTTTGGTTGAAGTTCAAAGGTCGTCATCATTGCATCATTCCAGCGTCTAATTTTAAAAGCAGACAGAAAAAGCTGAGCTAAAAATAAATGCATTCCTAGAATAAGTCGGTTTGCTCTGAACATAAACGGCTAAACGAGACAATCTTCCAATGAAACGAGATCATTAGATAATAGAAACTTACAATAAGATGATTGAGTCATTTTAAATCTTTATTTCATTTGTTCTTTCTTGCTCGAATTAGGAGAAAATAAAGTTATTTCAGGAAAACATGTCTTACTTATATTTCAGTGTTTGCGGAGCAGAAATTCCCATCAAGCTGCTAAATAATGTAGTTTAGATTTTAATGAAAAGTTCTCCTTTGTTTGTGGTGAAGATGCTAAAGGGAGCTAGCTGAAGCCGCCTGCATCAGCTGGATGGGATCTGAGACACACACTGCAAAAACAATCTAGAACTAAAACTAAATTGTTTTAAGTGTAAATCATCTTTTTCCATCGGCAAAGTTTCTCACTTACCTCCTAAATTCAAGAACAAAATTTAAATTTAAGAAAAAATGACTAATTTAGATTTAGATTTTCTCCTGTGCTGGATGGGATCTGAGACACACTTAGCAATTTTAAGCAAACTAACACTGGAAAAACCATCTAGAAATAAGTAAAAAAAAATCTTAAATTAAGTGTATTTACCCTTAATTTAAGTAGGTAAGTGTGATAGTTTGTCAATGGAATATTTTTACTCTTAAAATAAGATATTTAGATAAAATGCACTTGAAATAAGACAATGCAATGTTTTTTCTTGCTTTAAAAGTAAATTGTTTTGTTCCATCGGCAAAATGTCTCTTTTATCTCCTCAATTCAAGCACAAATGCACTTTTTTAAGAAAAAATGACTAATTTAGATTTAGATTTTTTCCAGTGCAGAATCTCTGCACATCTTAACAGCTAACATTTTAATTTCTTCACATAGAAACAAACAAACTGATAATATAATAATAACAGTTGAATCAAATAATGATAAAGAGCAAAACTGTAAAAACTTTATGGATTTTGGGTTGAATGTTGATGGATTTATTAAAGAAATAAGACACCAGAAGTTTGGAAGTATTTATTGACATGAGAGAATTTCACAGACATTCCTGGAAACCAGCGTGTTTATTTAAAGTGCGATCAGTGTGTGTGTGTGTGTCCATAGGGCAGCTAAGACTTGCTGTCATTTTTTAATCCGTCTCGGGTTCCTGGACCGTTTCAACATGTTCTCATCCCGTCTGATCATCTGAAACACACAGAAACACAAACTTCAACCAAACGATTCTTCTTTCTGCCGTCGGTTCATCAGCAGATCTGCTCGCTGACGCAAACTAAACCTTTTCTCTAAAGGCAACTTTTTATCTGCAAACTTAACAAATATGATTTCATTCATCAAGAAAAAAAATGTATTCAGACTTCCTGTGTTTTATTTTGTTTATTAATTAACACTGTGAAAAAGAAATAAAACTAAATAAATAAAGCTAATAAAAACAGAAAAAAGTTGAAATAAATGAAGTAGAATTTATTTTATTGAATTCATTCCAATGTTTTTTAGAATGGTTTCATAATAAATAAATGTGCATTGCACCTAATTGGACAGGATATTTCCAACATGGACTAATATTAGCATCGGTTTAGCTTTAGAATAAGAATAATAAATAAACCACAAAAGAAAACAGATATCAATAAAACATTGTCATTTATTTTATGTCTGGACCTGTTTGGAGACAGAATATCTCTGACTTTAGCTTTTAGCAAGTCTTTAGTATCTGGAGAACGTTTATCTTTAAATCTACTTTAATAATAAAACCTTAAAATCATGTTTTGTTTTGTAAAAATGCAGCAAAGCAGAAACTGTCATCTTCACGTCCAAAGCCTGCGGTGACGTCTTCATACGGGGCATCGGGTCCTTTGTTGTCAAAGATGAGATGCTTTGATAGATCAGACACACACACACACACACACACACACGCTGCAAATAATCCATCTCTTCTTATCCTTCCTTTAAAAGGTATAAAAATACCTCCCCAGATCAAACATATTTCCTTTTTCAAAAGCTCCAAATATCAGAGAATCTAATAATAAGTTTGACACGTGAAGGAATTGTTAACGGATGTCGTTTTATTTAGATCCGGCAGAAACATCCCAACCCGAGGCGTCTGATTGGAGCGTGGCGGCATCACGTACTCCAGCATCTCATGTCCAACATTCAAACTACAATTTCTAGATTTACTTTTAAAAAAATCTAAATTGCTTCAATAGTATTTATCTGTTGGTTCCAGTTGTGAAAGAATGTGAAAAATCATCTGGACTAAAATAAACCATTTTAAAAACACTTGTACCATCACTCTGCTGGGTAACCATCCAAAAAGCAGCTTCTAATATTTTAGTTTTAAGCAGACTGATCCAGTTATGGTCAATAAGTAAACGTTTCTTACATTAAGTGCATTTAGCCTTAATTTGACCAGGATTTGTCAATAGAATGAATATATCTACTCATAAAATATGATAATTAGAGCAAAGGCACTTGAAATAAGACAATGAAATTGCTTTTCTTTATTTTAAATGTAAATTGTCCTCCTCCATTGGTGTCTCACTGACCTCCTCAATTAAACAAACAATTCTCTTATTTTAAGATACAGACGACTTATTTAACTTTTATTTGTTTGCAGTGCAAAAGTAGTGCACTGCAAAAACTCTAAGAATCTAAGTAAGTCATTTTTTCTTAACATTTTCTGGAATGGAGCGGTTAAATGAGACACATTGCCAATGGAATAAGATGATTTACATTTAAAGCAGCTGGAGTCTTTGATTTCAGTGCATATTATCTAATCATCTTATTTTAAGAGCAAATATCTAATTTAACTGGTCAAATTAAGGGTAAACACGCTTAATTTAAGAAATTTTTACTCATTTTCAGAATGTTTTTGCAGTGTAACAGGGATTTTCCATTGATCCCAGAAAGACAAACTGGTTTCAGCTCCACCTCAGCTTTACTGGCTAACAATGTGGGACACATCCAGGCCTGGAAAGTTCCTATTTACAGCATAACTACAAGTTTTTAGGCAAGCTGTTTCCTGGTTGGTCTCGAGATCGGACCTTCCTCTGACAGGAGCAATGAATCTAAATCCTTATTGGACTGAACTGTGTTTGAAAATGTGCCAAATTAAAGAGGATAGCAATACTGTATTCAAACTGGATGCTCCTTCATGGCATTTATTCTATAATGGGAACAGATGTGAAATGAACTGAAATGAATTGGACCAAACAAACATTTAGTGACCTGAACTGAACCAATTTAAACTCAGTAACTTAAAGTTTAACCAGAACCAAACTAAACTTCCCCAAATTAAATCAACTTAAATCATCCTCTCATTAATTAGAGACAAAATAAACTGATTTCATCTACGATTTCAGCTAAAGAGATAAAGCTGAACTAAATTAAAAAAAGATAAATTTAAGTAAAACCAAACTTCGAACTAATTTCAATTCTATTCAGTTTATTTCTATAGCTCCAATTCACATCATGTCATCTCAGGGCACTTTACAGTTCACCAGATCATCCAGTCAGACTGATTCAAAGTTTTCTATGTAAGGAAAACCAGCTGATTTCATCGACTCATTGACTCTTCAGCAATCCCTCACACTAAGCATGCTTGTAGCGACAGTGGAGAGGAAAAACTCCCTTTGAACAGGAAGAAACCTCCAGCAGAACCAGGCTCAGTGTGAGCGGCCATCTGCTGAGGCCCACTGGGGTTCAAGGAGACAGAAGCAGACATAGAAAAACAGAAAAAAAGTTAAAATAAATGAAGTTGAATTTATTTTATTCAATTCATTGAAATGTTTTAGAGTATTTTGCAGCATCAGGCCAAAAGTATTACAATGATTTCATACAAAATAAATCTGCATAGCATCTAATTGGATAGGATAGTTCCAACGTTGACGAATATTAGCATTGGTTTAGCTTTAGTATAAAAATAATAAATAAACCATAAAATAAAACATTTTGTGGTTTATCTTAGCTTCTGTCTGGACCTGGACTAGAATATCTCTGACTTTAGCTTTTAGCAAGTCTGTCGTATCTGGAGAAAGTTCAGCTTTAATAATTTTATTGTAGGTGATTAAGATATTTATAGAAATTTACTTGATGCATTTAAAAGAAATGCAAATTTGGAGATGATGTTTGAAATGATCCTCTTTGGTTTCCGTTCAAATATAAACCTTATTCAACTTCTTCTAAACTTTATGTTGAATTCTGTCTGATGATGCCTTCAGGACAAATCGGAAAAATCAAAACCTTTCTTATGTTTTGGGATCTGAGAAGAAATTTAGTCAGCAAACATGTTTCTGCATGAAAGTCCATAAAAACTGCCTGATCTTCCAGGGTTAACATTGAACACCTTGTTTTTACATCAAGAAAATTTGGATTTTTACCTGCAGGAATAAAGCAGCGAGAAAAACGAAAGATGAAATAAAACTATTTTCAACACAAAGATTAAAAGATGTCGACTCAGTTAGAAAAACACATGAAGACAAATCCAGTCAGCCTCACCAGGGAAGGATTTAGGAAATTTGGGGCCCTAGACAAAGACAGGCAGGGGCCCCTCTGAATGGAGAAGACAACACATCAAACAGCCCCATTCTCCAGATAGAGAAATGTTAATAGAATAGACATCCATTATCTGTTCTAGGTTGTGTCCCTCTCTTCTTGTCCCTTTTCTTCTTGTTTTCCTCTCTATGTTTTGTACTCAGCTGACTTTTCATGCTGTCTCTAAAGGAATTAAAGATTTTCTCCAAGCACTAAGCTCACTTAGCTGATTGCTCCTTCCTGTGTTTCCAAAAAGGCCAAAGTAAATAACCCAGTCCTTCTTTTCACTGTAGACAAGCCATGATCTGCTTATCTGTTCTCCATTTTTCATTTGGATGAAATAATAGCTGCATGAATCATGACAGCAGACAAGATAGAGGAGAGCAGGAGGCGGGGTTACCAATCTACTCGTTCTGGAGAGCAGAGTTCGCTGCTTTTAGATGTTGTCTCCAAAGTCTCCAGTAGCAGAAAAAAGTCTCTAGATTTGGCGCTAGGAGCTTTTTAGAAATCAAAGTGCTAGAGGGGTCTGAAAAGTGGCTAAATATAGCGACTAAAGCGCTAAGTTGGCAACACTGCTCTTTGCATGGTTTGTTTTCAAATGGTTTGCTGCTGTCTGTTTGGACCTTTCTGAACATGTGCAGCAAATGGACTGATCCAATATGGTGGACACTGAAGGGGGGGCTGAGACACACTTAATATTATCAGCGTTCTGATGGCATTTTAAAGAAAGATTTACAAAAAAAAACCATAATTAATGTGCATAAATAAGGAAGAATTGTATTAACCATACATATACACTTGAAAATCAATCTAAATCTAGATAAGTAATTTTTTTTTCTTGGATTGAGGAGTTAAAAAAGACATTTTGCGAGTTGAACAAGACAATTTACACTTAAAATAAGAAAACACAATTGCATTGTCTTATTTCAAGTGAATATTATCGAATTATCTTACTTTAAGAGTAAAAATATTCATTCCATTGGCAAACTATTTCAAATTAAGGGTAAATACACTTAATTTCAGATTTGTTTTCTGATTTCTAGATAATTTTTCAAGTGTAAACAGAGTTTTATGGCCACCCCCAGGAACTTGGGGTCCTACTGTAGGCAACTGCCCAGTATTGCCTAATGGTAAATCCCCCCCAGTCTCTACCAACACAGAAAGCTTCCTGAGACTCACTGCAGCTCCTTTCCTTCTAAAACATATGACAAACTGTTCCTTAGCCTCCTGCTCTTCATGTATGCTCGTTAGCCACGATAACATTAGCAGCAGGGATTAATGAGGTTAATATGAAGTGTGGTTAATCTGCTGGTGTGACGGGGCTGGATAAAATCCCTAAACTCTTTTAAAGCGGCTGCTCGCGCGCCGCACGATGCCGGAAACAGAAGGATCCATGCTAGCAGACTAAACTCTATTCAGTTCTGCAGATAAAAAAAAAAAAAGCCGTGACTACGAGAGAAAAAGAGAAGAAAGCTGCAGGCGTAGGTAGTGGGCATTATTTGGAGAGGGAGACCCACGTGGAGGCGCGCCGCCATCTTGTTTCTCACTGGAAGAAAGGGGTCGCAAACTGTTGTGCAGAAAAGAACTGCTTGACACACAAAAAAACCTCCCCTTCACGCACACCCATAAAAAAATACCGGTACGGAGGTGCTGAAAGA